GTCTAGGATGAGGGGGCCAGGTGTGGCTACTTTAGAATCTTGAACTCAATTTAAAAACCTTATAGAAGATTATAGGAGTCCTGGTTTGCTGCTGGAGGATAAGTACTGGATTGTTAGTCACCAAGTCTGCAGTTCAAACCCACCAGTCACTCCTTGAAAACGCTATATAGGGTCACTATGAGTCGGAACCAACTTGACAGCCCTTAATTACAATACAACAGAAGATTATAAGCAGTTTTGTTGGTGCTGTAGGCTAAGTACTGGAGCTACATTTATGCATTTTAATGAAACACCAGATTTTGTGTATGTGTATGTGTGTAGAAGTGTGCACTTGTGTTTTCTCTACCATACCTTTAAGGCATCTCCTTTAAGACTTTCAAAGTCCTTTTCCTGGCTGTAATGAAAGAGCAGAAAGATCAGGAGCTTTAGAGTCACTGGAGCGAGAGTCAAATCTCTGCTCTACCATCACTATGACCTGCAACATGCAGCCTACTGAAGTTTCCAGTTCAATTGGCAAACTCAATATACTACTGTTTTTCTCTCACCCACGTATTCACAAATATTTACTGAACAGAGATTATGTGCCAGGCAAAGAGCTGGGAATTCCATTGTAAATAAATGAGACACAGTCCCCATGGTGTCATAGAGGGTGAAGAGACGTGATTATAATCTGGTAAATGCTTTGAAAGACCAAGAATAGGGTGTTTGTGGAGGAAAGGTACCTAATCCAGTCTTGACGGGGCCAGGGCAATCATTCTGATGTCTAAGTAGAAGCTGAAGGCTGAGGAGAAGGTAGCCAGGAGAAGTGCAGTGGGGGGGGGGGGGGGGGGGTGGGGAGGAGAACGAAGGGTGGGAAGACTGCTCCAGGCTATGCCAAAAGCTTGGAGGTGAAGAAGAGCATGGTATCTTGAAATGGACTTTGATCAAGCCCATTAGGCTGGTTGGCATTGAGAACTAATGGAAAGTCTGAGGGGAGTAGAGAAGCATGCTCAGATTTGCATTTTACTAGGATCCTTTTGGCTGCAGTAGAATGAATGAGGTATATTGGGAAAGACTGGTATTCAGAAAATAGGTCAGGTTTAAGGAACAGGAGATGTTCAAAATCATCATAAAACCCAGGCAGTGTTCTAAGAGTTCAACATAGACTAATTCATGCTATCCTCATGTTACCCAAAACAACTCTAGGGGGGTGTCCTGCTGCTGTTGTTGAATGCCATTGAGTTAGTTCGCACTCAGAGCAACCCTGAATCGGGTTTCTGAGGAGTGGCTGGTGAGCTTGGTCTCTGACCTTGCACTTCAAACCAACTTTGCCGTCCTGCACATTAACCCAAAGTGCCACACCAGGACTCCTAGTATCATCTTTATTTTACAGATGAGAAATCTAAGGCTCAGAGATGCTATATAGCCTGCCCAGGTCACACAGCATTGGGATGTGAAATCAGGTTCCAGGACCTGTGTGCTCTGCTGTAGATGCAGCCAACTCTAGAGATTGACTGAGAAGTGGAGAGAGAAGAGGGAGAAGATGCAGATGACAGCCAAGTTGCTAGCTTATAACCAGTGGTATTTTGGGGCTGAGACACATCCTGAGGAAGAATAGCTATCAGAGGAAAGATAATGGCTTCTTGTGAGACATATTGAATTTGAATTCTCCAGGTGACTGTGATGGTGTGATATCTTGAGTATCAATAGACATCTGGGTCTTGAAACTGAAAGACCTCACCACTGAGATTTTAAAAGAGTTATGTGTTTGGTGAGGAGCCCTAGTGGAATTGTGGGGTAAAGAATTGGGGCTGGGTTATAACCATAAACTTGGTAAGTCACACCTACCAGATGCTCTTTGAGAGAAAGATGAGGCTGTCTTCTTCCCTAAAGATTTACTGTCTCAGAAACTATGAAGCAGTTTGACTCTGCCTTTAGGGTTGTTCCGAGTCAGAATCAATGTGATAGAAGTGGGGCTGGCTTTTGGCTTGGTATACATTGGGTGGAGTCCTGGTGTGGTGCTATAGGATAAATGCAGGACGCAGGTCAGTTTGAACCACAAGGTTGGCGGTTCAAATCCACTAGCTGCTCCTCAGAAACCCTATCCTGGGTCACTATGAGTCAAAATCGACTTGATGGAGCTTAACAACAAATACATTTGTAGTCACTGGCTTGAGGCCATGAGAGTGGGGAAGATGTCTTAGGACAAATATTCTCAATTAGAAAATACTTCCAGAAGAACCCTGAGGAACATCATATTAAGGGGCAGGCAGAAGAAGAATCTGTCACTGTGTCGATGAGAAACAGGAGCTTGAGAGAGAGGAAAACAAAATGTGTGCATTTCAAAAGTAAAGCATTTCGTGGAGGAAATGGTGTCAAATGTTGTGGAGAGCTCAAGCAAAGTGAGGCCAAAACAATCTTTTGGATGTAGTAACAAGGGAATCATTTGTGACCTTGGAGAAAATACCTTCTGTCCATAGTTGTTAAGTGCTGTCTAGTCCGTACTGACTCATAATGATCCTGGATAGGCTTTCTGAAAAGCAGTTGGTGGGTTTGAACTGCAGACCTTGTGGTTCAAAGTCTGGTGCTGATCCTACAGGGCCACACTGGGAGTCCTTCAGTATGTCAGCAAAAGCAATAGCCAGAAGGCAAAGGGCTGAGGACTAAATGTGGGCTGAGGTTGGGGATGCAGTACACAAGGAACTTCACCAAGAGAGATTTGGAGGTGAATGTGGAATAAAAGAAAGGTTTACTTAATTTATCTTGTTGTCGTTGTTAAGTCGGTTCTAACTCATAGCGACCCTGTATATGGTTTCCGAGGCTGTAAATCTTTGTGGGAGCAGAAAACCTCATCTTTCTTCCACTGAGTAGCTGGTGGGCTTGAACCACCTATCTTGTGGTTCCTAGTCCAGTGCTTATCCTACAGAGGCAACGTATCCTACAATGTAAGAACTTTGAGAATATTTAAATGTTAATGAGACGACTCCAGGATAAATCGAAAGGCTGCAAAAACCAGAGACCTATAAAGAGAGTCCTTGAAGATGGAGGAGAGGGCTCTTGAGCCCAGCTGCGGAGTTCAGGTTAAGCAGCATGAGTGTATTCTTTCTTTGTAGCAATGGAGGATACATTTTTAGATTTGGTGGTGGGAATGGTGGGAGTTCTTCTTGATGGCTTCTATTATCTCTCAAAAGTAGGAGACTTTATCACTATCTGAGAGTGTGGGATACAGTGGAGTAGGAGTTAAGGGGAGAACAGAGGTGTCAGACAGACCCAGTGTTCACCGTGGCACCAACTTGACCAGCTGGGTGTTTTGTCTAGCTAATGGCTAGGTTTGGAGAAGGCAGAGAGAGAGAGAGAGAGAGTTAGGTTTTGACAGGTATGTACAATAGTAGACAATGATAATTAGAGAGGAGGTTACTGGTAGGTAAGGGACTAAAATGATGGATGGCGCATGGAGTCTAGCCAGGATCCAGAATAAGACAGAGGGAGCCAACAAAGAGAGGTGAAGTTGTTTAGAGATTTTGATCATAGTTAAAGTCAAAGACAAGAAGTATGTGGTAGGCATCCTCTAAGATGGCTCAATGATCTTCACCTGGCCTGTGTAATCCCCTCTCCTGGAAGGGACTTAGTGACTCTTTCAAACTAACAGACTATGACAAATGATGGGGTGTCACTTCAGAGTTACAGACTCTGGCTTCTCTCTGGCTCTTTTGTTGGCTTTATCTGAGAGAGGCCAGCTGCCATGTCATGAGTTGCCTTGTGAAGCCCAGGTAGCAGGGAATAGAGCCAGAGAGGGCCTGAAGCCCTCAGTCCAATTCCCTTGAGGAACTGAATCTTGCCAACAACCTGACCGCTTGACAAACAGACTGCAGCTTTGTAACAGACTTTCAGCTAAGCCATGCCCATTCCTGATGCACAGAAACCTAAGCTAATAAATGCTCATTGTGCTAATCCACATGTTTTGGGGGTAATTTGTTATGTAGCAACAGAGAGTTAACAAAAGATAAGTGACTGAGAAGCAAAAACGGACAGCAATGATGATCTGAGGGTGGAGTGCTAGAGTTTATATTTTTCTTCACAAGGCAGTTCCACCTAATACTTCATTTGTCCTGGAGAGGGTGGGTAAAGCCGGGCAGATGGATCTGCGAGACAAGCCATCCTCCAAGGTCATTGGGTGGAGAAGAGTGTGAGCCCGTGTTAATTTCAATGAATGACAGGTTGGGAATTGGGTCGGGGAAGACAATCTCAAAGATATGGAGCGCAGGAAGCATAGATGGAGTGTGCCTCCAGATCCCTCCCACCCTCCCGAAAGAGAATGGCCAATTAATAGTATGAAAGGGGCACTAGAAATCCAGGAAGATGCTGATCCCAAAACTTGACCCTAGGGTAAGGGAGAATGAGCCAGTAAACCACGTCTTCTTGAAAGCGGCACCCCCGTTTTAAGAGACGTGCGCTGAGTTAGAACCGACTCCATAGCACTTAACAAGAAGTATATGCTTGTCTCCACATAGCGGGCGCCAAACGAATATAAGTTTTCTCTTGACATTCACATTTGAGTACTGTGCTCATAACCCCATCTTTCTTCAAATACCTGGGGATGGGTAAAGGGGCTCACCACATTGGGTCAGGGGCTGCCTCCTCACGGATCAGGAAGGACAGGCTTTCCCTAACTTCTTTAAAGCAACTGGCATGAGGCGGGAGAGCGAAGGTCACTCTCTCTGGGGACAGTTCCATGTCATCTCACTAAGAGAAATGTATCCGTTCCATCAACAAACATCAATCAAGAGCTATGAAGTGCGACACAAATACTACAGAGAAACCCACTCCCGACAGTAAGGTGGGAGCGCGGCCGCGAGCAACGTCCAGGCCAGCATTGGCCTGAGTTTTCCAAGTTCTCCGCATACTTTTTGCTGAGGGAAAATGTCGGAAGTGGGCGTACAGCCCGCACTGCGAAGCTCCAGAACTCGGCCTGGTAGGCTGTCACTTCCCAGCGGTTCACTCGTCGCTCCCGCAAGGCCCACCTGCAGCACCCGCGTCCACGTGGGCACCCCTGAGGCCCGCAGGGCAGGGCTCGAGGGGCAGGACCAGGAGGGAGGGTGAGGCCGGCCCCGCCCTCGGGGCTCCCATGGCCCCCCGCGCCCCGCGGCCAGATGCTGACGTGTCCTTTGCTTCTTACTACACCTCCCGAGTCCCGACGACACTACCTACTCCAGCTGCCCCGGAAGTCCCGCCCCAAATTTAGCCCGTCACCGCAAATCAGCTCTTTCAGCGCTTCCCAGAGTTCGCCACCCGTTTTGGGACCAAGGGGCGGGGCTCCAAAAGCAGGTCGCCTATTGGCTTGAGGTCCGGCGGGCTCTGGACGCCTATTGGTCAGAGGGCGGTGGCTCTCTGGCACGCTTGCGCGGCGAGTAGAACGTGTGGCGGTGGTAGTGGTGAACGCGTCTCCTCTTTCGCTCCCATTCCTGCCGCTGCTCAGTGAGCGTCCAGTGCGTCTGTCCCGTCCATCGCCCACAGCCCGTCGCCCGCCTGTCCCTCGCTGCGGCAGCTCTCACCAGCACCGACACTCCCACTGACACCTCCAGCCCGGCCGGCAGCCCCACTCGTTGCCTTTCCATCTCCACACATGGCCTCCTCCGTGCAGAGCGGCGGCTCCTCCGGGGGACCAGCGGTCCCCACCGTGCAGCGGGGCATCGTCAAGATGGTGAGAGCGGGGCCCCGAACACGGGCCACTCCGCCCGCCTCCAAGCGAGGTCGGAATCTGGCTCCCCTTCCCCTCCTGCCAGCCTGCATGGTCCCCAGACCCTCTTCCCTCTGCCCCCTTCCTACTGCCGATCTCTTCTTTCAATCCCCTCTCTAGACAGATCCCTACATGGACCTCCCTGGGTCCTTGCCTCTCGGACACTCTTGCAGGGGTCCCAGTGATTTCCGTGGTCGCGACACTTGAACTGGCTGTTTACCGGGACTGATCGATTAGCTGAGAGAATTCGTGGTTCTCTGTTCCCCCAGCCCTCCTCTTGCCTATCTTTTTGACATCTGCTGAGGAGTTTGCAGTTTTTCGAAACGCTTTTACTTGTCAAATCTTGACATACAGTCTTAACTGAAACCCAGGAGTACTTGGATATCTGAAGCTTTGCTGTTTCCACCCGCGCTCGGTGACTTAACTCCAAGTTCTCTTGTTTTCTGGCCCTCTGCCCCCGTCTTTTCCCTCCACAGATCGCGTTAAGTCTGTAATCCTGAATGCTAATACTTGTGCTCCTATTGACCCTCACAACGATAGGCCATGAGGAATTTTAGTAATCCTTATTGCTTCTTTACTGATAGAGGGACAGGTTTAAGGTTTAAGGGAGTGCAAGTGACTTGCCTAAGGTCACATGGTGCCTGAGGTTTGGATTGGAGCCAGTTCTAGAGCCCAAGTGTTCTGACTCCCAAGCTCCCAGATCAGGGCTTGCTTACCTATTCCCTCACGCTCTACATTCCTGAATTTAGATTTTAAAACCCATGAGGTTGATCACTTCCATGATAATTTTGTAGTATGTTTGTTTTCTTCATCACTAACCTCCTGGTGTCATCTCACCAACACTCACAACTTTAGGAACCAGGTATTTCTTGGCTGTTACCAGGTTTTCTAAGGAGCTCTGGTAGTGTAGTGGTTACAAATCAGGCTGCAAACCTTAAGGTCAGCAGTTCGAAACTACCAGCTGTTCCGTGGGAGAAAGATGAGGCTTTCTGCTCTCGTAAAGATTTACAGCCTTGGAAACCCTGTACAGGGTTGCTATGGGTCGAAACCGATTTGATGGCACTTGTTGTTGTTGTCAGGTGCCATCGAGTCGGAACAACAACAAAAACACCAAAAATGAAATCTAGATGACTGAAAACATCTAGATTTCATTTCAGATCACAGTTCCGACTTTTCCATCTGGAATAGCAAATGACACTATTTCTCCTGAAGTGTCATAGTTTTGCTGTTGCAGAAAGTTGAAGAAACATCTTATTTTCTTTGTCTCTTGCTTTTCAAAGAATGAAAATGTTCTGCAGCTTGTGTGCATGTCAGATTTCATGGTGTGTTTTTGTCACTCATTATTACATATTCATTTCTTAGTTAACATTCTGTCACCAGCTGAGATATTTGAGGTTTTTTTTTTAATATTGCTTTTCCTTCATTTACACATCCAATCCAAACAAAATCCGTTGCCATTGAGTTGATTCCAACTCAGCGACCCTATATAGAGATAGTAAATCTGTATGTGAGCAGACACACTCATCTTTTGGAGGGTTTGAACCACTGACCCTGTGGTTAGCAGTTGTGGTTTTTAGATGCTGTTGAGCCCTTTCTGACTTGTAGTGCCCGGTCCTGCATCTTCCTTACACTTGTTATGTTTGAATTCCATTGCTCTCTTTTGCTGCCTCTCCATTTTGCCAAGCATGGCATCCTATAATGAGTGTGAATTCATCAGAAACTGAATGAGAAGGCAATTTACAAGGTCTGTGTATTCTCTCCTCTGAAACATTGGCCTTCCCCACGAAAGAATGATCATGGAGGGGCTCCATGCTCATTTGCTTTTTTATTGGCACTGATCTTTCCCTTGTCTGTAGGACAAAGCATTGCTGGGTGGTCTCGTGATGGGATTGGCAGCCCTGAGTGGATCTTCTGAGTTTCCTCCTTTGCCAGATCTTGCAGTTTTCTTAAAGGCCCCTCTCCTTTGTGGGGCAGGAATGGAATGAAGCTGATCATTTTTTGCAGGAGGTTTTCCAAGCATCTGGATCCCACGAGCTGCCACAGTGGCTGCTCACAGATTATACCATAAACCCAACCAAATATGTCGCTGTCCAGCCATTCGACTCAGCAACGTTGTAGGACAGAAGAACTGGCCCATAGTTTCTAAGGTTGTCTGTAACCTTTGTGGGAGAAGAGCTACATCTTTTCCTGTGGAGTGACTGGTGGGTTTGAACCGCCAGCCTTTCAGTTAGCAGCTGAGTACTTAACCACTGTGCTGCCGGGTTCCTGAGATTGCCCCAAAGATACTAAATATCAGTAACAATAAACCGAAAAAATACCAAGCCTACTGCCATCAAGTTGATGCTAACTCATAGCAACCCTGTTTTGAGGTCTGTAAATCTTCATGGGAGCAGCCTCATCTTCTTCTGATGGAGTGGCTGGTGGGTTTGAACTGCCATCTTTGCAGTTAGTAGTTAAGTGCTAATCGTATAGCGCCACAGGCCACAGCTTGTTAATTAAGTGTCCTGTCTTGTGCTGAATAGTCTGGCTGGCACACACGATCTCATTTACAACACCTAACAAGTACATAGGATTTGGTTCCATTTTACAGATGTGAAGTCTGAGGTTCTGAATGAACAAGTCACTTCTAAGGACAGGCACTTTTCATCCGTAATAAGAGGCACCCTGGGCCTGCCTGCCAGAGCACATGCTCGTAACTGTCCTACCCTATTCTGCTGTGCCGACTCCCCGACTTCAGGGTATGACTTTGTCACGTGGAGGAGGGTGGGGTCGGTGGTGCACCGCCACAGAATTGCAGGAAAGCAAGCTGACTGTAATTGAGTTGAGAAGAGATTAGATGTTGCTCCCTGTCTGGCCCAGAGCTGTTATTGTGGTAAGTGACTTCATTTGGTGCTTATGGTTGTGTGCCTAGGAGAGTTGTGGAAGACTTTTGAGTTTGGGAGGAGACACTGCAGGTTCAGGGATTGGAGCAGTCTGTGCTGCTGTTTTTCTGGGACCAGACTGCTGGGGGTTGGGTGGGTGAATTCAGGCAAGGATTATGGGGATCAGCAAAGGGGGGTGGTGGGAAGTGAACTGCAGAGAGCCAGGCTGATTTGTGCCAGCTTACAGGTCTTGTCTGGAATGAAAAATTGGGGATCCTGGTAAATTGCTCTGTGCGAAGCTCCTCTGCTAAGCAAAGTTGTATTATCCTGGAGAGTAATCGACTCTACTAGAACTAGGAAGTGCTTTGTAAGAACTCTCCAAAGGAAGATGGAGCTGTCTGACAGAAGCAAGTGAGAGTTTGATGACGAGGGAAACAGTAGTCCTTGCTTTTCTGCTTTCTGGGAGTGAGAGGCAGAAACTGGAGCAGGACTGAAGCAGGCATGCGTTTCAGGAGGGCTGCCTGGACTTGGGCTGGTCTCAGGGTGACATTGGCTGCAGCAGGGAGGGATAGTCATTCCTTGTTTGTTGGGTGGGGGTAGGAAAGGTTATGGGGTCGTTGCTGTGTTAATTGCTGTTAAGTTGCTTGCAACTCTTGTTGACTCTGTTACAGAGTAGAACTGCTCCATACGGTTTCCAAAGCACATCAACAGACCTGCCTCTTTTGGGTAGGTTTGACCTGATAAACTTTTGGCTAGTAGTTAAGCGCTTAACCATTTGTAGCACTAGACGTTTTGTAGCTACATCTCTGTGCAATAATCCTAAATCCTGCGTTATTCTGTTTTAAGATTGAAGAAGGAACTTGGGGATTGACTTGTAAGAGTCTTTGTGTTTTGTCTGTCATTTTGATGGTGATGAGAGTGGGGCTAAGGGACAGCTATGGTCCTGGAATGTGTGTAAGGAGGAAGTGGGCAAGTCAGCTGGCAGAGCCTTGGGGAGCTATTCTGTTGTTGCAAACACATTGAGGAATCCTGGAAAAACTGAAGGTGGATTTGTTTTTTGTTTTTTGTTTTAGTTGGGATGAGACTGGCAAGTGTGTGGGCAGACAAAATATAACCTAGATAAGTAATTGTTTCTTGTCAAATCAGATCTGATTTCTCTCTAAATGCTCCATACGATTTCCAACTGAGTACTTTTTTAATAATTTGCTAGACCTTCTTTGGCCGTAGCAGAGGATTCTCAGCAGGTGTTAAATAGATGAGGTTGGGAGAAGTCATAGGATCTTTCCTGTACAGTTCAGTCACCTAGTTGTCAGTGTCACTCTCCGATAATCTGGAGCCTTGCCAGCCCAGTTGTTGTTGCCTCCCATCTCCTGGTGACCTCATGTGTGCTTCATAGAGTTTTCAGTGGATGGTTTATCTGGAGTAAATTGCTAAGCCTTTCTTCCAAGGGGCCTCTGAGTGGAGTGAAATTGAACCCCCAGCCTTCTGGTTAGCAACCGAGCTCATTAACCATTTACATCACCCAGAGA